CAGGATATGGGGTGTACTGTATGCAAACATAATTGAAATTAAACATGTTTATTATGATGTCTCAACGCCTTACAAAGCATTGTTTTACATTAGTGAGTAATCACTCGAAGAACGACTTCACAGTCGGATATTCTGACCCATTGGGTAATTGTTCCCAGGTGGATCTACCTGTAATAAGGAACGGGTTATCACTCGAAAAAAAGCCAGAATATATGGATTACCTCTTGATGGCTTTCTGACGTCGCTATGGAGAAGTGGTAATTAATTGTATCCATATTGTTGTCCTCCTCAAATGAATGCTGTGATGGAGGTATATTTGGTCCCACAAACTCTTCCCGATTCTTAAGTTTTCTGTCCCTTTAGCTATATACCCGCCCTTTACGGTTTTTTTGGGTGGGTCGCATTTTCATAGTAACGGGCGAATATCCATTGCGCTTCCCTCATTGGTGCGCCTCTCCTTCCAATTTGGCGAAATTAAGGGGCGCACCAATGAGGAATGCTTAATAACCATCAGTCCAGTCCCCGCCCCATCCGATTCTGGTGGAATCTGACTCTAAACAACTGACCTTGAGTGTGCCATCCTCGTTCTCGCCGAGCGAGCCATAGAGCTCATGCAGTTTCTTGTCGATTTCAATACAGGTGAGCTAAAATTGCTTCTTCTAGGCAACACAGTGACCATATATTGCCGTAAAGAACAAGAGATAAAACCTATTCTTTTCAGGATCCAGCGATCCGCTACGCAATGGCAACTCGACCCCATAAATGAACAGAAAAGAGAAACAATCTTTTACAAGGTCCTATTCGCGAGAGCACTTTAAACCACAATACGCGACCGTCGAACAATGGATTTGCAAGATGTTTGCCTCGTACTTATCCCAGAATTGCTGTAACGGGCCGATCGTCGCAGGAGAACCACCCTACAACGATCAGCCGGTTTTCTAGCTGCTATCTTGGATTTGATTTTACTGTTGTGTGACCGTCGCTAAGGCGCGGAAAGGGTAGTTGTGAAATATTCTCGATAAAGGATCGAACTGAAGAGGGTAAGAATGGGACGTTCGTGTCACATCGCGGGACCGTTAACAATAAGCAAAGTCCACTCGTCAGAAGGGCGGTGGTTCGACGGTCGGTCCTATTAATAGGTATCTCTTTTTCACGTCCCTCACGTATCAGAAAAGTTCACGTCAATGTGTACGAAACAAAACGTCATAGCCGACCCACCGCGCTCCACAGAACATTTTAACATTTCTCGAAAGGGGAGGTTCTGCCCGGTTTCACGAATAGGAATGAGGAAAAACGGCTACACAGAGTTCTGTTCTATCCATTGAAATATTGCGTCAAAATTGCGAATACTGCACGAAATTTTCGCGGTATAGGAAAGGGTTGAAAGGCGCAGTTCGGCGACAGGGGGGAGGGCATTTTGTACTATCACTGTTTCCTTAGTTCCGGTTTACAAGTCTCACTCTGGCGAAACCTGTGAACTCTTGTGAAGCTGGAGCAAGGTCGTCAAGCCATCATGGTAAAACCTGTCAACTCGAGAAGAGGCTGTCTAGATAGGTCGACACGTCGATGGGAAGTAGCAAGAAGCAAAACGCCCCACCCCCGTCGCCGAACTGTGCCGGTTTGGAAAGGGTTGCCTGACGGTATCGCCTGAGGGTCGAACATCGTCGTACGCGAAAAGTTCAAATCCCCGACGGTCTGCCGTCAGTGCATTCTTCGTTGGTCTCATCATGAATTTTACAGCGCAAATTTCTGGGAAGACCAAATTTTTTTGCATTCATTTCTTTAGTTTTCCAATTATTCGTAAAACTGATAATTTCCCGCGACTTGTAAATTATGGCTTCAAGCAGCTCGAGCAAGCTAAATTAACTACTCATTAGCTGTATTCAGGGGAAAATTCGGTTAGAAAAACCTTGCCGCACTTCACCTTACGTGAAAGAATGAGGCATGTTTATCATATTAGGTGCATAAGCACCAGTTGAGTTTTCGCGTCAAAGGCACAATGCAGAATGACAGGTTTCTTTGCTGCGCATGCACTAGCGTGCGTGTGAGGGGGTGCTGGGTTTGGCCTTGCTGGAGAACGAGCTGCAAGCTCAGCCCTTGGCATGCTCCAGCGTCTGCAGCAAACAAAACTGCAACCGCAAGGCGGTACCATTCCGTGTCTGAGGTCCACAGGGGAGACGGGCAAGAGAATCGCAAATTACTGATTTGCCGCGCGCGACAATGGGCGCGACGTTCCTCAACTTGCACTCGACTGGAGCATCAAATTTCATGTAGACAAGGACATGGTAGACACTTATGTCTATTTTGGTCATACATTGTCTATTCTCGACCAATACCACCTAAAATCGTCGTCATTAGCAGGCGCGACGTCGCACGCGACGCCCACTGGCGCGGCGAATTACGATTCTATTGGCACATACCTAGTCCACAGTCGTTAATGTGTTGTTCTTGCATCACTTGAATGTGTTCGGAAATAAATATAACACTCTGCGATAGTTGGATGTCCCTTATGTCTACTCAAGGTCCAAAATTCAAGTGATGCAAGAGCTTGGGATTGATCGACCAAACTACCACAGGAAACGGTATGGCCCGCGGTCAGTGTCGCCACTAAAGAGAAGCAAACGTGAGAGGGCGCGAGGCAAACAGCGGCGGGTGGCTATGCCAAAGACCGAACTAAAAGATATTGGCCTCCGTACCTGTACCCGTGCCTCCCTTCCATGTTCGAGGTGAATGGGTCTGCAGCTATAGTAGCGTGCCGCTTTCCTCGCTCAAAAGTGTACGGGAACGGGGCTGTGAGCCGGTGGTATCGTCCCCGCCTCCACTCGCGCTATCCTCTAGGTGTGGCACTTGCGCACATTCCAAGGTCTCGCAGTGAAACACGGCTTTGGCGTAACAGAACACCATGAAGTGGAGGGGGCAAGCAGACAAGCAGCGCGTACTTAGCTATGGCTTTAGGCTTGTCTGGGTGTGAAGGCAGCGCGGGCGGAGTATGGAGGCAATATCGTTTCGTGCACAAATCGAGTGGTCAAGGACAGGAATATACAAATACCACAATGTTACAGATTCATCTCTGCGCTCATCTAAGTTTCGGAAATGCCACAATTCGACTTCGGGGTATGTGGCTCAAGCGAGTCTCAGCATATGTGTCTTGAAAGTGTTACAATATATATGCACAGCAGAATAAAGTAATACGGCACTTTGGCTTGCGTATTCCCTATCATCAAACTCTACAGGGGAGCGTGCATACGGCCCCACTGTCAAAGCTCTTCACAAACCTTCAAAAACGATTCGTGGCCTTCCCACTTGATCCATGGAATGGATGCACCTCGTAGGTAAGCATGGTATCTCCAAGGAACACGTTCTTCGCCAAAGTATATGGTGGTTGTGTGCGTTTAGTTTTTATGAACCTTCTCTACAGGTTCAAAGAAATGAATACCCGCCTTCGCAGTGGTTTCCCTCTGTTGCTGTTCTTTGATTCGCTCCAGGAGCTGTTGGCGTGTGATTTCCATTCGCATGTTCATTTCACAATACTCATCACATCTCGCGTCCCATTCGCCTAGTTTCTTATGCATCTGCAGCATTTCGTTCTTCATGTGTTTTTAAACTGGTGCTGGAATAAGAGGCGAAGTGAAAGCGTTTGTAGATTCGCCAGAGGGGATTGTAAATCAGAGAGAGAGAGAGAGAGAGAGCAGTAGTAGGGGGTAAGAACGAGTTTTATGTTCGTGATGGACAAACTTATCCTAGTTCTGCGTCAGAAAGTTGTAAGCAAGAAACGATGAGGCACAAACTTGCTCAGGTGGCTTCTCTCATCGTTCGTCATTAGAATGGAGAGCAGGCTACCGTCGCGGCTCATCGCCCGCCCGCTCCCGCTCCTTTGGAGGGCCCCCAGCGTTTTTTACCAAGGACGATTATAGCAGTCATGATGCAAGCATAAGTGAGGAGGGCGGATCGGCGGGCAGGACCAGGGCATCCGCGTCTCCAACCATGCCATCCAAAGCCCTCCACAAATTCTTTACGGATCAGGCGAGTAGCTCATAAACCGCATGGAAGAGGGTACTAGCAGTAAAAATTTTGCCAGGTCGAATAGGATCTTCCTCAGAGCATCAAATAACGCACCTTCGAGCGTTCTGAAGCGCGTGCATTGCCTGGAATATAAAGTGTGATTTATTACCTTGTTTGTGGGCATGAATTCCTGCCCTGTTAATACAGTCTTCCTTTGGGCCTGGCGAAGAAAGGGGGCTTGTCAGGAGGCAGGTTTTGGCGGGGCGACACAAGTTTTTTTCTTTGCCGGCAGACGACAAATCTGCGACTAGAAGGCAGATTTCCACCAGTTGCTGTCACTTCAACAGCTGGTGGGGAGAGTTGGTAGCGCCAAGTCTATCCCTCGTCCAACCATTTTCAGCGAATGTAGCGGCCATGGGGCCGTGTGCGGTGGAAGGCGATTGGAACCCTAAGAAAGGCCAATCAGGCAGATTCTCCCCTGACGGGATCGGTAATCGAAGAGGTCGTCTTCTTCCCTACTGAATGGTTTAAGAGCTTATCGGTTAAAACGTTGCAACAATCTCGCCCTCAAAAATCTTCGAAAGAAGACCCGGCCTGAACGAGATCCTGGCGACGGCGCCTTCTTCTCTACTGAATACTTAAGAACTATTGGTGAAACGGTAATATCTTTCCTAGAATCTTCGAAGAACTCCTCTTATCAACCGCTCCTCCTTTTGAAGCTCAACTCTGGAACTCTAGATCGAAACCACTTTATGGGCTCTCTTTTCCTTTGCTTGATTTCCAGAATTTTGTTGTCAACACGTGCTCGCATCTGCATGAGCATGCTAATGTTGTATTCGATGTCATCGGAAATGATCGCTGAGAGCGCCCCAGTGGCGCACAGGCGGGATCCCCGTGCAAGCATCTGCAAAGAACATTTCACAACTAAGTAGGTTTTATGGAACACTTTTTGGGCACTGATCGGCTTTGCGGGGACACTTTGCACGATCGTTAGTTCGTTTTGTTAGTTCATGTTAACCAACAAACTCTCGTTCTGCGAGGGCACCGTAAACTGTCAACTCATGTGAAGCTACGAAGTGGTAAACACAATACAGACAGGCTTTCGGGTTACAAGACTTTACAGGTTTACACGAGGTGGCCTGTACTGGCCCCCACCAAGCCGAACTCGCCCAGATTTCGCTGACATACCTTTTGCTTCTCTTCTTTCAAATACTCTACCCATCTTGCCACTCTTTCAGCTAGTTCGTTCTCTCTCAAACGTGCCTTTTCGACATGATCGGTCAGCTCGCTGATTTTTGCGGGACAGCTGAATCAGTGCAGATCCTTTATGTGCCGCAGTGATTGGCGGGCATCTATTTGAGTGCTTCAGCCTCAACTTTTTTTTGAAAATCGAATGAAAAATAAAATAGGTGAAGGTAGTCGTAGTGAACTTCACTTGGCATATCTCGTTCAGTTGCTCTGTTCTTATTCGCTGTTGTTTTTCGAGTTCCCTTTCGGTACAGTTACAGCAGTTCACCAAGTCTCTGTGGATCTCTCGCAAGTCATTTTCCTGAATATTTTTCTGAGATATGTGGCGCATCAACATATCGGCAGAGATTGGGGGCGTGGCCGCATACAGCGCCTTCAACAATAGCGGCATTTTAGGTTTTTGGTGAATCTTGCAATTTGTGACTAAGTATGTCTCTCTCCGACGCAAGACTGAAGGCCAGCTATCTTAAACGAAAGAAATACTTTTCAACGTTGTACTTGTCAAGTAAAACTCCAGGTAAACACACAGCCATCCTCCCAAGCTCTGGCACATGGAGTGAGGGTATCCCATATTATCTGTGAGTCACCCTATTCTTTGGGGCGTGTTGCGCATTCAGTTTGTAGGCAGCGTCCAGAGTTCGCAGAACGAAGCCGCCGAAAGGTATCGGTCGGTGCCCGTCGCTTTTTTGAGAGAACCAGGAAGAAAGATGGGGTTTGGGCAGCACAGGTGCGGTCTGGGCGCCCATCCCATTCTCATATATTCTGTCGTCGAGGAAAGCAGCCCTGCATTCGATGCGATTAAGTCTACGCTGGGGCATTCGCTGTCGCATAACTCTCGAGCGTCATCACAGTAGTAAAGAGTCGACGCGCGTCTACGCTCTTCGAGGGCTGTCTGAAATCCAAAAAGCGTGCGTTCTCACGCGCAGCAATCTCTGCGGCTTATGAGTATTTTCTTTTTTTTGCACGCTCTGATACTATGATTATTGATTTCAAACAATTTTAGTCGGTATTTTTAACCAACTTTTTCACCAGACTGGTTGAATCGAGGCACATTCTGCACTCCGGTAAGGGGTACAGTAGTAGACCACTCCGCCTATATGCTTGCGTGGAATGGTCTGTGCCCTCAAAATGGTGACTCTCTGGCTCGATAATAGAGAATGTGCCAGCAAGGGAGTATTCAACTCGATGAATCTTTTGGTATGTCCGTACAATCGATGCTACTTACCGTAACAGGTCCTTTTTCCAGTCGGCAGCACGTTTTCGCAATGAACTCTTCTGTTGCATACTGTAAATATCTATTTGATCGAAATATGCAGAAACGAAGAACCACTAAGCTCTGGTGTAGCACATATCCGAGGCCCTCCCAGGGTCTCGGAATGACGTCCCAGTGCATGTCATTAAAGGGCTGCTTCTGGCTGTGGAAGCGCAGATGGACCCACGTATAATCTGGGTGATCCTGTATGTTACCTAATGAGACGCCTCTTTACAAAAGCATGTAGAGAAAGCTTTGCTGTTGTTGTTCTTGCTTCCAAGATATCACCAGTGCTTGAATGAATGCTTCAAATGCTCCTCTCACGACTTTTGCGGTTGCTCTAATAATGGGCGGGATCTTGGTATCGGCGCAATGCTGCACATTTGGGACCGCGCAGGCTGAGCAGAGACGGCAATTGGGACGGCCTAACCTCCAGCCGCCGTTTTTGTGCGCTTTCGATCGCCGAACATGGCACACTACTGCACCTCACACATGACAGAACGGTATGGCAAGGGCAGAGATCGCATACGAAGAGGCGGAGACGACAGAGCAAAGCAGATCCCTGACGCAGTTAAAGGGCAAAGCCGCGATCATCTGCCACCTCAGATAGTGGATTACGGGTTTGCATATATACGACGAGAGGCTGTGTAAGTTGATAGCGAAGAAAAAAGCAAAAAAAGCATGCCAACTGCCCTAGGTAAAACCGCATTCTGATCTTAGTTTGTTCGTGCCCAATTAAACCCATTTCCAACAAGATCTCTGCTCCCTCACCCAGCTGATTCCCTGATAAGAACTCTACGACCGAAAGAAGGACGATTTTCATGCTTTTTCGTCCTGCAGCTTCGTTTTTTCACTGAAAGCGAACATAGAAGGTGGAGTCACTGGAAAACGGAGGCGTCACTGAACCACTATTGCGCTACATCGCCCCTCTCTTACAGCTTTCTGCTGCGAAACCGGTACAAGGTTGTTCGTCCCGGACCAGCGGCTAAGCGCTCGCCGGTCGCTATATTTAACATAGCTCCATAAATTGATAGCCGACCGTGCCTTTAAAGAGCAGTTTTGAGCTGATGGTGAGGAAGCGGATATCCTATACGGCTGTGGACTTGGACCATTCAGTCCAATGAAGAGCTTTTGCGCGATCTGATTGATCACGGACTCTGTTTCTAGAAGAATGGAAGGCTTATGCCAGTATCATAGGCAAAACCGCGCCAGCACTTTGCACCAATTTCGTTGCTAACAAGGGCAAGTGTTGTTGGACAGAACCACCGAAAGGAGACGGGCGAGACAATCGCTGTCCGTCTCGTCGTAGCGCCTGGCGTATCGCTCGGCCGTACGCGGCAACTTCTCGATGGGCATCAGTTTTTGGAGCAGCGACACACACATATGAATTCAACTGAAGGCAAAACTCCCTAACGGGGACATGGAAGCTCTCCAGTTCTCCAACCCTTTGACACTTGTATTCCAGAAAGGGAAACTCGTCTTACGAACAGGCGTCGCTCGCCACGCCCACAGGAGCAGCGCACTATGATTATCATGTCACATACCCTTGACAATGTGGGATATCGTCTGCGGTGGCAAACCGTGTCACCTTGTCCAAGGAGGGGCTCCTGCACATTGGTGGGTCACCGAATCTGTTTTTTAACGCATAGCGATTGTGCTAGTACCATAAGGAGCACCACAACAGCAGCCCTTACACTGATCTCGTAGCTCGATGTGGTTGGTCAGAGACCAATGTCGCTCATGTGGTTCAGCATTAGCGAGTGGCAGCCCAGACACGTGCAAGGGTTTGTGCCTCGTCTCCCA